AAAATCCCAAGGGCATTAGATACAACCAAAAAGCTCACCAAGACAAAGGAATAGAAAATATTAATGAACACAACCTAAATATTAAATACCTTTGGATGTTAATGGTTTTTCATGTAGCAAAGTCGAGTCAAGACCGCAACCAAAAAAATTCTTTACAATAGAGAATGAGAAATTTAAGATGATCATATAAATAAGAAAGAGAGCATGGGAGAGAGAAATTTAGACAGAGATTTTAGAAAAGAGGGAGAGAAAGATTTAGAGAGAATTTGTTGGAGAAGAAAAAACTTTCAAATTTTGTGAGATATTTAAAAAAGAGATGAGAGAGAGGAAGTGAGAGAAAGTAGAGGGACGTGATAGAGAGGAAAATAGAGAGAAAGATAGATATTTATAATCTTTAACTTCTATATCTATCAAGAAAAGAGGGAAATAGGGGAGTGGGTGACACATTTTAAAAAGGAGATAGAGAAAAATCTTATTTACGGAGAGAGATGCGTGGAGAGAGAGTTATAGAGAGGTGGAGTGAGAGATTTTAGGAAAAAGGGAAAGAGATTTTAGAAAAGAGGGAGTGAGAGATGTAGAAAAATTGTAGGGATAGGAGAGAAAGTGAGAGTGGCAGAAAGGAGATTATAAGAAATGATATTTAATATCAAATTAGAAATCATGCTTATCTTTTGATAGAGAGAGATATGTGGAGAGAGAGAGGAAAATTATGCTTATCTTTATAAAAAAAAAAAAAAAAGAAGAGTTAGAGAGAGGGAGAGAGGAGATTATAGGAAATAATATATAATATAAAATTAGAAATCATGCTTATCTTTTGATAGATAGATGGAGGGAGATACGTGGAGAGAGAGAGAGGGATAAATGTCTTACCTTGAGAGAGAGAAGAGGCAATTTTGAAAAAAAAAAAGAACACATGACACAATAATAGCGAGAGTACCCCTATAGCTTCAATTAGAAATAATGATCATCTTTTTATATAGATAGAGATACGTGGAGAGAGAGAGAGGGATAGATGTGTTACCTTGAGAGAGAGAGAGAGATGGCCATTTTGGAAAAAAAAATGATGTGGGGTAAGAATAGCAAGGGTATCCCTCTCACTTAATATATAATAGATTTAAATGGTTTTAATGTCTCCATACAATAACCTAATCTTATATTGTGTTATCTTTATATATATGATTTTTTTACTCTGTTTTTTTGGAGCCAAATCCGAAATATTTATGATTCCCTAACTCAACTAATTTTTGGCGACATGTATTTTTGACACTATTTTTTGCCTTTGATTTTTTGGAGCAAACCGATTCATATTCTAATTTTCTGATATATTGTTATTAACCGACTTGCTAACTACGTTAGGAACTTAAACTTAATTATTCACCATTAGCTAATGTTTCTAGAAACTTTAGATTAAACAAATCCTTGTAAGTTGGTATTTTGGCTACAGGAGAAGGTGTACAATTTGTTGTGAAGGGAATGCAACATACATGCCCCAATAAAAAAAAAGAAAAGAGACTTTATCAAAACACTCATGAGATCATGTGTCTTTTGCTATAAATTGGTATTTCATGTCACAAATAGATACCGGTAGATTGTTAAATAGCCAACAACATTTACACTTTTGCAACTAATCCAAGTCATAATCACATTTTTTTTTTACGGGGTATATTACAATTAAATCAAAAGATATAGGTAGATTGTTAAATAACTTATCTGGCATGAGTATTTTGATTCATGATTCATGGAAAGTCTTGGCAAATTTTTAGGTTGGTTGCTAACCTAACACAACCCAGTTCTTTTACCCAAGCTTGATATGAGTTAAGAGAAAGTTTAAGGTCATTATCCTTCTTAGACCATCTTATGAGTATTTTGATAAATTTCCCAAATAATAATATAAAAAAGTATATAATAAGACCATTTATAATTGCTACATGAAGGTCACAATTAATATTGACCATGTGATATGAAATTAGACAGTTGCATTTATTCTATTGACTAGGCTGAAAGTTTAAATAATAAAATAAAATCAAACTATGTGACATGCCCAAGCCATTAGATTTCTATCATAAGTAATCGTGAGCTTGAGCTCTTTTTATGATTGATAAATGACCTCATAGTAGACAATCCTTAATAATAGTTTTTAAGTACTCAACTTGGCATTATTTTTGTAAGCTAAATTCATTGTTTGAACATGCATTCATTTAGATCATTTTTCAAGCGAGAAATCAAATATTCCTTTTAGATTGATTGTTCATATGAATAAAAAGAACCGATCTGAGGTCAAATAGATGACCCTCATAAAGTTATTTGCAAATGGGAGCAAAGAGCACAATTTGCCCTTGATAGCACCAAATATTTTTCAAAGTACTTGTTTTTTATCAAATAATAACTAACAGGACATGGTTTCTATGAGTCCTAGGACTCATACGTACATATGCGTCCCCTGTTAATCTATTTTTGAGATGGAATCCGGACCTAATTTTTAGGTATATCTTCATGAATATGTAAAAAAAAAAAAAGCACTTTTTTTAAGGAAATTTATATACGATTGATCTTTATGTTTTTAAGAAGGACCATTACATACCATGATGTCCTATGCCTCATGGGACACAAATGTAGATATGCCTCCCTTGATGCATAAAGAAATTTTCCTAAGTAATACTTATCTATTTGTAATTTTTTTCATGTTATATACTAATCAAAGTGGCCAGCCCCTTTACTCTCTAGACAAATCCATTTTCTTCCTCCTTTTTCTTGCTTTTAAATTTTTAATTATTTCAACTCCACGTTTTTATTTGAGGAAATGTATATAATAAAACTATTTATTTTTTATAAAAGGAGGCTGCAATTATTATTGACCATTAGATGTGACATCTGGTAGTTGGAGATGTATCATTGACTAGACACAAAGTCCTAATAAAGTTTCTCGAATGTTGTGAGATAATTTAACCCATCGGATTTCACATCCATTGTTAATAGCGATTGTGACGTCCTTGTACCAAAAGTGAATAATATTGTAGTATACCATCCTTTTTATTAATTATATTCCCTATTTCATTTTATTTTAAAACATATTTTCCTTTCTTACATGCATTCCATTATTGTCTTTTTCTTGTATCTACAAAATAATCTTGTTTTACTTATTAATAAGGGTGTAAACTGGTCCGATCAGATCTAACTAGATCCTAGTTGGACTAGGGCAAAACTTAGATCCAACTAGGGTTAGGTCCATGTCATTGTACCTAGACCCGACCTAGACCTAGGTGGGATCCAAGTCATTGGATCAAGATGACGGGTTGGGTCAAGGTTTACATAAATTATTTTTATTTATTATTTATTTGTAATAAATAGATTTTTGTTATCTATATATGATATACATAAATATTGGTTCATATCGGGTCAACCTTAACCCAGGCCAATGCGAGTCGCGTCCAAGTTAAATGGCCTGCACTTGACCCGTAGGCTCCAGTATACGTGTCTAGCCGAGACGGGCCAACTCATCGCATCAAAGGGTCGACACAAGTTTATTTCAACACTCTTTGTTAACATTTGGGGTGGGAACCAAGTCTGGTCCACATGTGGACCAGATGAGTAGACCCAATTGGGTCTGGGTCTAGACCTAGATACTACTCCTAATGAGTCGGGCCTAGGTCTACTTGGCCTAGACCAGACCCAAGTCAGGTCTAGGTCCGAGTCCAACTTGAACCCTATGGGATTCGGTTGGGTCGCAGATGGGGACAAACCTTTCGACATGATTCGATATTATGTTTGTAAGGTACATATAAATTTATGTAACTACGTTATTAGATTTGGAGAAGATGAAGAACTTAGGAAAGTCTCTAGAGAGAACCAATGTCGATCAATTCTCATTAAGGAGGAATGAAACCCTAAAAGGGTTAATATACAAATACGTATTTAGTCCCTACACAAATATACTATGGCAATAAAGGACAACTGAAAAATGTACATTTTATTTTAGGAAAATATCTCCATATCCCCTATTTTTAGGTTTCATTTTTTGATAAACTCAAGGCTTCAAAAGATATCTTCCAACCCCTTGCCAACTTTAAACATATTTTTTAACCTAAACAAATGTAAGAAAGACATGATCTTTCTAAACCCAATCATTTCTCTCTCTTCACTTATATATCCCAAATTTATTCCTTTCTCTCTCTTCCGTTGTCTCTCTCTCTTCCCGTGTCTCGCACGCTCTCTCTCTTCCCTTATCTCTCACTCTCTCTTCCCCTGTTTTTTCAAACATCTCACTCTCTCCTCTCGGTAACCTCTCACCTTAGAAGAAATAAGAACTACAAATTTTATTCCTTAAGATATTTTTTAAAACCTTGGGTCTATTGTGAAATGAAACTTAAAAATAGGGGGTATGAAGATATTTTCCCTTTTATTTTTATACACACATTATTATCCCCCTCAAGCTGATGTGGACATGAGTAAAGCATTAGCTTGTCTAATAGAAAATCATGGTGTGTCTGAGTAACTGATTTGGTGAAAATATCAATAATTTGTGTACTAGAAGAAACATATGCCATCAAGATAGTGGCCGCAAACATACTGGCAATCCACATTAATATGCTTTATTTGCTCATGAAAGACTAGATTAAATGCAAATTTAATCACACTTTGGTTATCTGCATATAATGTTGTGGGATTTGAAATAGTAATACCAAAGTCACTGAGAAGAGCACGAACCTAAATAATCTCACTAGCAACGGATGACATAGCATAATATTCAGCTTTAGTGCTTGACTTGGAGACCGTATCTTATTTTTTGCTCTTCCATGATATTAAGGATGATCCAGGCAATATACAATATCTTATAGTAGAGTGACAAGTGTCTGGATCACCTGCCCAATTTGTATATGCATATCCACAAAGATCTAAAGACGATGTGGAGGTAAAAATAATCCACGATTGGAAGTGCCTCGAACATAGAGCAAAATTAAGTGAACCGCTGAGACATGTGGTTGTCGAGGATCTGAAACAAACTAGCTCACAACATGGATATCATATGCAATAACTGGACGTATCATAGTGAGATAGATGAGGGAGCCTACAAGTTTGTGATACATTGTAGGCTTTGGAAGATCATTACCAACATGTGCAGAAAGTTTAACATTGAGTTCCAGGAGTGTAACAACAACCTTCGCATCATTCAATCGGGTATTTGAAACAAGATCAACAATATACTTATGTTGATGAATATAAAAACCATGCTTAGAACGAGTGATCTCAAAGCCAAGGAAGTAAGATGCTTCTAAAAGGTCCTCCATTTGAAATTTTTCTTGCAATCGTAGCTTCACATCTTTGATGGAAGTAAAATCATCTCCAAAGATGATAATATCATCAACATATAGTAAAACAATACAAATTCCAACCTTTGTGGTACGAATAAACATAGAGTGCTCGTGTTTACTTTGAATGAAATCAGTTGCAAGAATGATAGCTCGAAAACGCTCAAACAATGAATAATGAGCTTGTTTATGACCATAAATTGCCTTATGAAGTCGACAGACTAAAGATGTACTTTGAGCAACAAACCCAGGTGGTTAGCGCATATAAACTTCCTCTTGAAGTTCTCCATTAAGAAAGGCATTTTTGACATCCATCTGCTATATAGGTCAGTCACGAATGGATGTATGTGCAAGAAGAGTATGAATTGTAGTCATCTTAGGCGTAACCTTGTGCAACTAATTGTGCTTTGTGTCGGTCAAGAGTGCCATTAGTTAAACTCATTTACTACAAATGATATACTTGTTAGGGGGCAATGTAACTAAATCACAAGTGTGATTCGGCCTCTAAAGCTGCAATTACCTCATTCATCGCCATGTGCCAACATTGGAGTTTAGATGCCTGAGAATAAGAGGATGGCTCGAAAGAAGGGGTTTGTAGTGGTTGTTGGAAAACATGTATGGGATGAGCTGATCATTGGCAAGTTAAGACAATTAGGAAAAACAGACTTACGAAGAGACCGTCGAAGTTGCTGATATACAGTAGGCAGATCAACAACTGGAGGTAATATATGATCAGCACTAGGAAGAGCTAGCTCATTTGAGTGACGACCTACAATACTAGGAATGCCGAATCTAGGCAGGATTGAAAAATCAGGTGTATGTACGAGTGTAAATGATGTTGATGAAAAGGTATATTTTCAAAAAAGGTAACATGTTGTAAGATTCTCACACAATTAATAGTAGGATCAAAGCAGCGATATCCCTTTTAATTGGTTGCATAGCCCACAAACATGCACTTGATAGACTTAAGTGAGAGTTTATCCCGTGCAAGAGAAGGAAGAAGAACAAAACAATTGCACCAGTAGTTAGGGGTTTTTTAAAAAACTTATGAAACTATGAAACATTTTCTAGAACATGAGTAGGAGGAAGATTTACAAGATACACAACAGTGGAGATTTCTTCAGCCCACATATTCTTTGGAGAATTAGTGCTTATAAGAAGAGAGCGAGCAATTTCAAGGATATGCCGATATTTTCTTTCTGCGACTCCATTCTGTTAACGGGTATGAGGGTATGAACGTTGATGAATAATGCCACATATACGAAGATATGCCTGAAATTCATTAGATAGGTATTCTCCCCCTAAATCTGACCTATAGACTTTAATATTTTTTTCAAATTGATTTTTAAGCATACTATGGAAGTCTTTAAATACACTGAACACATTTGATTTATGTTTGAGAAAATAAACCCATATGTACTTAGAAAAATCATCAATAAATGTCACATAATAAGAAAACCCACTAATGGAAGGAATAGAAGCAGACCCCCACACATCAGAGTGCACTAAAGAAAAAGGGCTTGTACTTTTACTATTATTATGGGGGAAAAGTAGAGCCACGTGTTTTATCAACTTACAACTCTCACACACAATATATTTATTAACCTTTTTATTGGAAAAGATAGTAGGTAAAAGTCCAGAATTCAAAAGGGATAACATTTTTTGAGAATGTAGATGACCTAACCTACAATGCTAAATATACCAAAGGGAATTTGATTGGCTTATTTCATGAGAAACGGGGGAAATGTGGCAAACAGGCAGGGCTTGTGAAAGGTAAGAACGAGCCTCATTAAAATAAATTGTGAAGAGCCGACCTTTCTTAGTGCCTTTCCCAATCACCTTCCCGGTTGCTTGATCCTACACCGCACAACCTTTATTAGAAAATGATACAAAACACTTATTGTCAACTAATTGCTCAACAAATATCAAATTAAAAGGAATGTTGGGAATATGATGGACATCCCGAGTAATAAGGAATGACCAGATGGACCAGGGATAATGGTATTACCAGAGTGAGTAACATGAAGAAAACATCCACTAGCAGTAAAATAAGTCATTTTATCAAAATGATGTGTCACAAAGGATAAGTGAGAAATTTATCATGTCAAATGGTTAGATGCTCTTGAGTCTATGATCCAAGTATTTGAAAGAGCATTTGGATTACCCAAAAAGCCCATAGCAGATAAGGCATGAGCAAGTTGCTTAAGTGTATTTGAGTCCGTAAAGAGAAAACCTGGAATAGATGGAGGAACTATAGATGATGAAAGTGTAGATGAAGAGTGGGAGTCAGCAAAAACAACATCCTCCATGGTGACTGAATTAAAAATAGAGGCCAATGTAGCTAATTGAGTAGACCCACATATAGAAGCCTTTCCATGAGCCTGAGGTCTCTTTCGACAATCAACAATTACATGGCCAGACTTTTTGCAATAATTGCAAAAATATTGCTTCTTACAATGTGCAGCGATGTGTTCTATTTGTTTACATATATTGCATTGAACTTAGCCAAAGTTGAAACCCTTGTTAGAGTTATTGGGTATAGCTAAATCCACATTAGTGATGTTTGGTGAATTGGATTTGCAAATTCCAAAAGAGCTTAAGTCTCCTCAGCAAGGAGATCTGATAGGGCATCAGCATCATCTAGTGATGAAGCAGGAGTGCGGTGAAGAATAGATGCTCTCATATTTTCGAACTCTGATCACAACCCCATTAGAAAATAAAATAAACAAGTCTGATTTCTTGCTTTAGTGACTGCCTCGTTAGGTGACTTTGTCTCCATCGAGTCCATCTCATTCCATATGTCCGATAGGGAATTGAAATAGTCTTGGACAGTAGAATACCCTTGTTGTGTTTTCATACTTTCTATTTCAAGTGCATTGAGACGAGCCGTGTTTGTTTGAGAGTAAATCTCCTTCAAATAATCCCACATGGCTTTGACACTAAGTTAATATGTGAGGTTGCGCCAAATTTTGTGCGCAACCGAATTCATGATCCATGTAACAATGCAACTATTAATAGCAAACCAATCATTGTGCCCATTCTCATTGGTAGGTTAGGGTATAGAGCCATCAACATAGCCCCATAATTTTATTCTTATAAGAAAGCGTTGCATCTGGAAAGGCAACAAGCAATAGTTCTTCCCATCAAGACGCACATAAATAGTAGCACTTTCTGTGTTATTTTTGAATTTCATGATATGAGAGAGAGAGAGAAAAGCAAGAGAATAAGTGAGTTGTGAAATGGGGTTTTTGGAGATGTTAAAGCTTGACTTACAGAGAACAAAAATATAAGTGCGGACTAGAGAGAGAGAATGTTGAGGATTCTGAAGTATAAACGAGATGGAGAAAGTTGAGAGGGAAAGTAGGAAAGTAGTTAAAAGAAACCCTTGAGAGAGGAGGAGCCGTTGGAAGAGACCTAAGAGAGAGCAGATGGAGTAAAGATATATGAATTAAAAGGGGCTGGATTTGCATGAAAAAGGGACTGGATTTGCATGAAAAGGGGCCAAATAAAAAGTTCTCAGAAGTGGGAAAAAGAAATAGGTTGCTTAACTAAAGGAGTTGAGAGAGAGAGAGAGTAGGGTGCCCACCAAGAATGTCAAAAAGCTTTGTTTATCATGAGATTTGTAAAGCATAAAATTTGCAAGGTAAACAAAAATCGTAGAGAAAATAACAAATTTTATTTGATTACCAACCTTCACAAAAAGGACGATTTGTGAGCAGCAACAGAGAAGAGATGGTCGGATCAATTCTCATTAAGGAGGAATGAAATCCTAAAAAGGGTTTATATACAAATGAAGATGAAGAACTCAAGAAAGTCTCTAGAGTGAAACAATCTCGATCAATTCTCATTAAGGAGGAATGAAACCTAAAAAGGTTTATATACAAATACATATTTAGTATATACCACATTACCCAACACAAATATATTATGGCAATAAAAGACAACTAAAAAATATACATTTTATTTTTATTTTTATACACACATTATTATACGTACTATAAAAATATACAACATTTTTAATGTTTTTTTTTTTCCAGATTTCCAATTGACATGGACTCGACCTAGATCTGGGTCAGGTCCACGACTTACCTAAACGTAGTCAACCTGGATGAACCTACCTACTCTCAACCCTAATTAACATGTCTTACTCTTCTTCTCATGAATAACTCGTACTTTAGAGTTCAAATATGTTCTACGAGCAGAGATGCAACACCCACTTTATCTCTCTCAATCACTTGAGAAATCTCTCTGTTTCTTATCTCTACCTGCTTTCCATTCTCAATCACTTGAGAAATCTCTCTGTTTCTTATCTCTACCTGCTTTCCATTCTTTTTCTGTAATCTAATATGCCTAGCTTCTCATTGTCATGTTGTTTCTTAGTTTCCTACCATTTTATCTTGTTATATTTTTCTAGGAATTAAGTTTTCACTTTTTATTTTCATTTCTATTTTTGTAATCATTACCACTAATGTCTTTCTATAAAGCTTCACTTATTTACTTTTGGGCAACTTTTTATACTTCCCCTACTGCATAAAACTCGTATGCTTCCCCTATCGAACCGTCCATTCTGAATGGACGAAGATGGCTCTTATCACAATGTCACGTATCCACACTATCTAATTTTTACTTTTATTTTTACAAGCTATTTTGATACCAAATTTTGGGAGTCCACTCATCTCTTAAAGTCTCACATGTAAAAAATATAAAGAAATATTTACGATAAAATGAAATAACCAAAATACACCTAAAAGTTTAAAGACTATTTTGATCATTATATTTTATCAAAAATTATTTTTAATATTTTTATAAGGTTCGCCCCATTGATATGATGCCACGTACCAAATTTCTTATTCATTTAATTTGTAAAAAAAAACACTAAAAGTAAAATACTCTGAGGCATCAGATCTAGATCTTCGTGACTCACTTGATCTAAATTGGACGGCTGGATGAGGAGTATCTTCTATACAGTAGGAGAAACCTGTAATAATCCTAAAAAAAAAAAAAAAAAAAACTTTTAATAAGTGATGGTCCATATGAGTATGATAGTCCTTAGGGACCATCACCATTTTCAAAGCTTTTAGTTTGAATTTGTTTTGTTTGCTGCT